GGTATGTCACAGAATGTCGTTTTTGCTCCACTTCGAAGCGCACTCATTGCCAACGTTAGCATTCACACATCAGATGCAAAGCCGTCTCCTCCACCCGTTTTTCCTTGCACACTCGGTAGAAAAGCATAAACTTCTCTGTTTCATTGATCTCCCATCTGTGATGCCACACCTCTGTCGCTCCAACATGAAACGTTTTAGAGGTTTTTCTAACGAGGGGAGGGACAATTTTTCTTTGTCGAGGAAAAAAGTAATCTCCTCTTTTATAAGAATTATAAACTTAGACGTTGCGCCGGTGTATCCAGAGGCAACTCCCCAAAGCGCCCCCTACGACGGGCGGAAGCAACGGACTGGTGACTGGTGCCGGTTAAATGTGTTTAGAGGTGACTGACAGCTTCCCGCCCGACGCGCCGGTTGGTTCGAAGGCGCCCGCACCTTCCAAGAAGGCGCTTCGTCGCCTGAGCGAGAAACCCATCCCCCTCGGCCGCCGCGCGTGCGAGTGAGTAGGCGCGTGCGAGCGAGTAGGCGCGTGCGACCTGTAGACGCGTGCGAGAGAGTAGGCGCGTGCGAGCGAGTAGGCGCGTGCGAGCGAGTAGGCGCGTGCGAGCGAGTCAGGCACGATCGCTGAGCGAGAAGGCGCTGCGAGTGAGGTAGGCGCGTTCGACGTGGTATGCGCATAAGTAGGCGCGTGCGAGTTGGGTAGCCGGGCGCGTGCGAGTGAGTAGGCGCGGCCGCTGACTGGCTAGCGTGAGAGCAAGTTAGGCGCGTGCGAGCGAGAAGGCGCGTGCGAGTGGACGTGGCGCGTTTCGAGCTGAGGTTATGCGGAGTAAGTAGGCGCGTTGCGAGTGGCGTAGGCGCGTGCGCAGTGAGTAGGCGCGTGCGATGAGTAGCGCGTTGCAGAGCAAGTAGGCGTTGCGAGTGAGTAGGGCGGCGTGCGAGCGAGTAGGCGGTGCGAGCCGAGTAGGGCGGGCGTGGCAGAACGCGAGTCAGGCGCGTGCGCACGAGTTAGGCGCGTGCGAGACGAGTAGCACGTGCGAGCGAGAAGGCGCGTGCCGATGAGTAGGCGCGTCGAGTGAGGTATGCGAGTAAGTTATGGCGCGTTGCGAGTGCGTGGTAGGCGCGTGCGAGTGAGTAGCGCGCGTGCGAGCGAGTTAGGCCGCCGTAGCGCAGCCGAGAAGGCGCGTAGCGAGTGAGTAGGCGCGTTCGATGAGTATGCGAGTAAGTGGCCGCGTGCGAGTGGGTAGGCGCCGTCGGAGTGCAGTAGCGCGTTTGCGAGTGAGTAAGGCGCGTGAGAGCAAGTAGGCGTGTCGCGAGGTGGTAGGCGCGTGCGAGTGAGTTAGGCGCGTCGTGGCGAGTGCGTAGGCGGCGTGCGAGCGCAGTAGCGCGCGTGCGAGCGAGTAGGCGCGTGCGAGTACGTAGGGCGCGTGCGAAGTGAGTATGCGAGTGAGTAGGCGCGTGCGAGGTGGTATGCGGAGTGAGTAGGCGCTGCGAGTGAGTATGCGTGTGAGTAGGCGACGTGCGAGTGGGTAGCGCGCGTCGCGGAGCCGAGTAGGCGGAATCATCTGCGAATGAGTAGGCGCGTGCGAGCTGTAGTAGGCCGCGTGCGAGTGCAGTTGGCGCGTGCGAGGTGAGTAGGCGCGTGGCGAGCGAGTAGGCGCGTGCAAGTGAGTAAGGACGCGTGCGAGCGAGTAGGCGCGTGCGAGCGAGTAGGCTGCGTGCGAGTGATACGGGCGCGTGCGAGTGGGTAGGCGCGGTGCGAAAGCGAGTAGGCGCGTCGCGATGCAGTAGGCGCGTGCGAGTGAGTAGGCGCAGTGCGAGCGTCAGTAGGCGCTGTGCAAGTGAGTAGGCGCTGTGCGAGCGATTAGGCGCGTTACGAGCGAGAAGCGCGGCGTGCGAGTGAGTAGGCGCGTTCGAGTGAGTATGCGAGTGAGTAGGCGCGTGCGAGTGAGTATGCGAGTGAGTAGGCGCGTGCGAGCGAGTAGGCGCGTGCGAGTGGATAGGCGCGTGCGAGCGAGTAGGCGTGTGCGAATGAGTAGGCGCGTGCGAGCGAGTAGGCGCGTGCGAGTGAGTTGGCGCGTGCGAGCGAGTAGGCGCGTGCGAGTGAGTAGACGCGTGCGAGCAAGTAGGCGCGTGCAAGTGAGTAGGCGCGTGCGAGCGCGCGCCCGTGCACGTGTGTGTGTTTGCGCGTGAAGGTGAACCTATTGACGCTGTCAGTCTTGAAACCCGATCTCCCCGCTGGCGGTCACTTTTTTTTGTTGCTGTTGCAGTGAGCGTGCAAGACGCAAAAGACGCTTTTCAAAACCACTTTCTGAATATATTGCTTAACAAGCGTTCGCGCCCGTGACGCATTCATGGCAGAATTAAATGGTGCAAAAGGATCTTTCTCATCCCATCAATGACTTTTGAATTAGGGTGAATATATATTGTTTTAAAATAAATTCGGTATAATTATTTTTTCTCCTGAAAGTACTGCGTAATCGCAAAAAAATTCCAGTAATTGAATGCTTTTTTTCACTTATAGTATTTATATGTATGAGTTACTGGGGTCGTGTATTGTGAACTGTTTTTTTCTTTTGTGATCTAAAGGAAAAGGTTGTGTTATACGCATTTTTTTAATTATTAGGGCACAAAAAATATAAGTGTCCAAACATTTTAACTTCTATTACTTTTATTCATTTAAAGATAAAGTAGCAAAGAATAAATCATTCTAAACAATATAATTCTCGACAATTTCAATTATGAGGATATTGCTGTTAAACTAAGATGCTAAACTCAGGTGCTAAAAGGGAAAGTATATCGAAAAATGTAAGGCAGTTTTTTTTGAAAATATTAAATTTTTGGCAGTAAATAACTGGGAAGCTATTGGGAGAAGAACGGATTGAAATCATATCATTGAAAAATTTATCAGCTTTCTGGTGGGAAATACACCATACCTGCACTAGCACCAGCACATAGGCCTGTAGGTATCTCCCACCAGCGGGGCACCGCCGCAGCTGGGACAAGCTCTAAGATCCCAACTGACCTCTAGACAAGCGTGGTTGTGTAGTGCCTGTGACTGTGTAAGTAAGGAGTAAGTAAAGGACAAGGAAGAGGAAGGAAAGATCGCGCGCGGTCCGTGGCCCGTTTATTAGGGAACTGCTCCGGCATTCGCTTGATATTGAAATCACCGGAAACTACTGATTTGAGGCCACTAGAATTCTCCAGACAACAGTTGAATTCAACCTAGCTATCTAGTTAGTGTTGAAAATCCTGCCACCGTCGGGATTCGAAATCTAGGATGTACCGGTCACAGGCACTGCAATATCATCAGTTGATGCCCTGAGCCACCTTTATCGGTTTCGCGGGTTCAGGGGCGGATGCGGTCCGTAAATTTGCTTCATGTGTTTAACATCAGTAAACTTGTGGCCCTCGCGAGTTCTCGTGTGGCATCCTTTGATCGCTGGTACATGATTTCTCTGATCACTTCCAGGCAAATACCAGAGCAGCATCCAAGCTCCAATGGGCCACAGCTCGAGTTTGTTTCTTCTCCATCATGTTCCCTCTCCTATCTTAAGAGCCTCTGTTTTATACGGCTCATTGAGCAAAGAAAATCTTGAAGTAGCATGGGAGGTCTGGATGCAATGACAAGTTGCATCTCGAGAAAAGAGAGATGAGAGAGAATGTTTCTTGGTGAGTTATGAGAGGAAAGAGAGAATGTGAGTGACAGAAGGAGAGAGGTAGAGAGGGAAAAAGAAATGGGAAAATAATGAGGAGAGAGAGAGAGAGAGAGAGAGAGAGAGAGAGAGAGAGAGAGAGAGAGAGAGAGAACAATTCTTAGTGAAGTTAAATAAAGATTTATTATATTTGGATTCATAACTATTGTGAATAATAATAAAAACTTATGTGGAGCATATTTTGTTTTTTAAAGTGTACCACCATATTCGATGCAGTGTATGCTCTTAAATCAGATATGAACCTTTTAAGCGAACATAATTCATTATTATTTGACTTTTACGTGTACTGTTCAGTGTTCATTATATAATTAACAATAACAAGCATCAAGTGTAATTTCATGGAACCCAGACAATCGAAAACGCGCCCCATCACAGGAGCGCACCCCACGCATGTCATTCAAACGCTGTCCTCAGCCAGCGCGTGCTTGCGCCGCCAGATGCGTTGGGCCCGTGACGCCAGCGCGCCAGGTGCGGGCGCGTCGGGAACCTCCGCCGCGCTAAAGGGTTGCTCGCTCGCTCGTTCGCGCGGGGGCGGAGGTGCGGGAGGCGGCGTTCCACCACTGCTGCGCTCGCCGAGACGCCAGCTCCGGGCGCCCGCCGCCGCCGCCAACTGAAGCCGCCTGCCCGCTCGCCCGCCCAGCCTGGCGCGTGCCCGGCCGGCGCGGGTTTCTCGCCCACGCGCCCCGCCGCGCCTCCGCCTTCCGCCTCCGCCGGCGCGTGCGCCGCGCTGCCCACTCGCGCGCCCGGCCCCGCCGCCCGCGCTCCGCAGTGCTGCTGCGGCTCGGCCGCGCCCGCGGCAACGGCCGGCCATGCAGCGGGCGGCCGCCCGCACGGAAGTAGTCCGCGCTCAGAAAACCGCGCTGCCGCCGCCGCCGCAGCTGCGCAGCGCCCAGGCAATTTCGCCGGTCGACGCCGCCTCACCTCACCTCGCCTCCGGTGGAGTGCAAGGTCGCGGCTTCTCGTGCAGACGCTCCTCACTTACCACCCCCCTCTGTCACCTGGACCCGCCCCACCCACCCCTCCCCTCCTCCACGGAGCACGCGGAAGCACGCCCTGCGAGCGAGCCCTCGCTTACCGGCGTCTTGCGGGTGCGCGCGGGCGCGCGGCGGGTCGGTGTCTGGCGCGAGCCCCGGTTTGACAGTTGGGAGCGTGGGCGGCCGCGCAGCCGGCGAGCGCCGCGTTTGTTTTCGTTGCGGCGGGGCCGCGAGTTCTGGGACGGCATGCTCCCGCACGCGCCGCGGTTACTGGGTTAGTGGTTGCGCCCTGTGTGCATGTTCGTGTGACGGGAGGATGCTGGTAGTGGAAGTGCAAGCTGCGAGAGAGTGTGGAACATAGGGAGCAGAGGATTCGAGTGTGGGATCTGTTGCGAGTTTCATCACGAGAACGTAGGTAAGGTTGGAGTGCGTAGCTGTCAGTTCATCTTTCACACTTCACTTCTTTTCTCGGGTTCTTTCAAGACGTTGTTCTACAAACTAGTTGTGCGACGGGTAAAGTCAGAGGTTTCTTCGTGAAGTGTCTGTATAAGTAAATTCACTCCGAAACGCGAATCTCTCCCTCTCTCTCGCACCTTCAAGACTTGAGGTCATCCACCTCTCAGAAATAGTGTAGGGTTGATAGCCGTGAACCTCGTTATTCCCCGTTATATGCACGACCCAATGCGTTAGGATAATCTCTTCACCTCGTGGCCAAGGCTGCGCGTCACATAAATTTTCGGGCTTCTTAATTAAAACGAAGGGCGTTTGACTTCCCACACGAATATCCAGCAAACGGACAACATGTTTCATGCCGACATTCTCATTCAGCCGCATGATTATAAATCGACTCAAATAAGTTGCAGTCTACGAGGCCACATCCTCTCTTTTGGTTGCCCTTTGTCAACGTCAGCTTCTATCCGAAGCTTCCTGTGATTCTCGTAATAGCTAGGAAGTGCCGATTTGTTTTATTTAGAATCGCAACGCTTAGAGTACGCCCTTCACGAAGTAACAGCATATCGGACAGCGGAAATCCTACACTTCGGAACAGTGAGTTAATTGCAATTAGTTGCGCATTTGTTGTCGATTTTACGTTTATACGTCAAACTTCGAGGTTATAAATCAGTATGTATTCTTTTATAAGTATAACTTCACGACAATATATTTACGGAAACTACTGTTATTCTGAAGGTAACAACAGTGGTGTCTATTATCCACCCATCTATTGTGTAAAGTATACGTACTGAATGGGGAACTCTGATCTTTTCAAGTACTCGCAGAAGCGTTTAAATTTTCTAAAACCTGTTGTTGACATCCTGCTAAATATATAAGCCTTAATTTTAGCGTGGCAACAAAAGTAGAATAAAACACATTTACTCAAAATATTGTTTCAACAGTTATAATTTCCCACTTATAGGAATAAAATGCGGTTGCTCTCTAAAGCTCAACCTTCAAGGGCAGTAAATAAGTAATAGTTTTGACAGTCATTTAGTTTTGGAAGCAAAGTTCCACAGTTGAAAATATTAAATGTTAGTATGCATATATTCGCTTATTACAACGTTCGATTGAAATGACTCATTGAGCGACACTAAACAAGTCTAATATTGTTTTGCTCATAAGCGACATTTTCATAGTAGTAATCATATCAGAAATAAGTGGCTCGTTATGACAAGAGTGTTTGGTATTGTCGATGCTCGAGGAAAGTGAAAGTGAAGCTCGAAGAAATATTTTAACCTTAGTGCAGCTATTTATTTCTCGGTTAAGGAAAAGCGCTGTATTCTACATACTGACTGATTTCTGAACTATCACTTTTGATTTTTACCGAAGACGATAGACTATTTTCTAAACATATTTCTTCACTAAACAATTACGATTTCTGAGAAGGCACTTTTCTTGTACCTTGATGGACAACCCCCATAAAATAACTAATAGAATCCAACCAAGAATTTAATAAATGTCACAAAGGCGATATTCAAAATATTTGAAAAAATTGCGATGTGGTTGCATTTAAAAAATGTTTGTAGAACTTTTTCAGATACAAATTCAATAATAATTGCGACCACATTTGATGAATTGACTGCTTATTTTGTTTCCGGACGGGACTACTGCTATTGTTATTGGTCTCGTAACAGTAGTGCCCGTTGCATATCAGGCTGTGGCGGTGTTTGTCCCTTGCGAAAACATGTGAATAAGGATATTTTAGTGTCCTCATATTAGGGAAGATTCAGTAATAATTACAACAGTTTTTAGTGGAAAATCCTAGAAAATTTGTAGTAATATTTTGCTTCCAATTAGATTTAGGCGAAGCTTGATCTTCTGTCTTCATTCATTCAAAAGAATGTTCATAATTTGGTGGCAATGGAGAGTGAAAACCGAAGTGCATAATTGAGCTCTTTTATGTGATAGGTTTTTGATTCATTAATTGGAAGCATTGGAAACTGATTATTCACATTTTAACGATCCTTTTATGAGGTTCACGATTTTATCAACGATATTCTCGAATAGAATAACGTTTGATAAATCTGTATAAAATACGTAAGAGTAATCTGTACTGGGCGGCAATTTATAACTGAAATGTAATTTTCAACGTCAAAACATTTACGTAAAGTCATTTTGAAAGAGAAAATTGATTATTATTTGAAACAAAAGCGCCTTAACCCTTTCATTTCTGGTGCACTGGAAACAAAATGCGCAAAACACTTCGTGCGCACAAAGAGTGCTTTAAAAGGTTGTGCTTTCGAGTTTGAATTTGGAGGCTAAGAGGAAGATAATAGTTACAAATTTCGATACTGAAACTGATACTTGTTATAATTAATAATAAGCATACTTTCGTATTTGTGACAAGTTAGTATAATATATCTAAAGTTCGAAGTTTAGACTTTGAAGACAAAAGTCTATTTTCAACCTTTTTTTCTTCCATAGCCATCGAACATATAGAGAGTGATTTAACTATTTCTATATGAATATATTTTTAGAGGAACATATATGTTTTTATAAGTACCTCTCAAACACTTTGTATAAATTGATAATTCATTCAGATTTTTCTAATTTTTTTCGAATAGTTTCTGAGATTGCGCTACTAAAATAGTTTTTGAATTATCGGACAAGATACGATTATATTAGAGAGTATTCAATTTTATCAAAACTTTCACAAAACTAAGTACTACTCTATGAAAACTTCTGGGGCTCTTGATATCATGATGTAATGAGCTCATAAAGGAATTACATGAATATTCACTGTTTCAAGAAAATTGTAATTTGGAACAATAATCTTAATCTTCTTCAATAATCTTAAGTTTATTGAATCAATGTTGATAGCTCATTAGGTGCCGTGTAAACAACTGTATCTCAACACTTTCTTATAATTAATCAGGCAACAATACTTTGTAATCAAATTAGCATTAAATATTACATGTCTTTTCCGGTTAGTCAACTTTCCTTCAACACATTACCTTTCAGAGAGTGTAATTTACTTGGAATCCGAAGCCGATTTCCAGCAAGTACTTTGATCAAAGTTAATCTTAATATCTCTCCTTGTATTCAGTATAGATTCAAGAGTAGTAAAATATGAACCAGAAGTCTTACTGTTTTACTTTCAATTGTAAATAACCATACAACCTAACAAACAAACACATTCGATCAGGTGTAAGTCAATATTTCTGTATGCTGCCTGCACCCATTTCAAGTGCTATGTGCATTTGACACACGAATTGTGTGTTGTTTCATGTGACATGACATTTGTATTCCATTCACACTACTTCGCCTCCTTTGCAAGACACACTTTTCCGCGCGCAACGTTTGAAAGCTCTCCTTGTGAATCGGGCAGAGACAGCCGCTGCCGACCGACAGTGAGTCATAGCGCCGCTTCCACGGGGCCGTTGGAGTGTTTGCTGCCGAGGATTGGGCCCCGCTCGCCGCTCTCATTCATTACGCACGCGTCACGCACATGCGTAGATGGTATCTCTCGTTCGCCCGCGGCGCCGGCGGAGAAGGGCCCACAGTGGCTGACACGGGCGAGGGGAGACGAGCGGGGAGAAGCAAGAGCGACTAGTTCGAGCGGAGCTGGGCGAGAAGAGAGGGTGGCGAAGGAGGTGGAGGAGGCGGAGTCGAGGCAGGGTGGGAATGGTGGTGTGCAGTGCCTGGAGGTGCTGTGAGACGTGGCAAGTTCTTGACAGGAGGGAGGGAGCGGGGGAGGGTCGAAGTATGGGCGGTCGGCGCGTGGGCGGGTCGGCGCGTGGGCGGCGTCCCGCGCGTGGGCGCGGTGGCGCGTGGGCGCGTGCGCGCGTCGGGCGGTGGCGCGTGGCGGGCTGCGCGTGGCGCGCGTGGCGCGCGTGGCGAATGGCGCGTTGGCGGTGGAGCGCGTGGGCGTGGCGCGTGGGCGGGTGGGCGCGTGGCGGCCGGGCGCGTGGCGGTCGGCGGCTGGGCGGGCCGCCGCGTGGCCTCGATGAGCAGACGTGGGGCGGGTGGGCGAGTCGGGGTCGGGAGGGCGCGGTGAGCAGGGTGGGGTGCCGTTGGGTGGTGGAGAGGGGGGAGGGGAGGCGCGACGAGGGCCTGAAGAGCGTTCTTGTTCGCGCGAGGCTTGTTTCGAGCCGCCGCCCCCGAAGAGGCAGCAACAGCAGAAGCCCTCGCAGGCAAACAAGTACAGAAAGGTGCTCCCTCCCGCCGGAGCCCTCAGACTGCAAAGTCCGCCTCAAAGTCTTCTGAACGACGACAGGTGGCGTCGAAAAATTCGGACGGTGAAGCCCATAGGCGATTGGTAGACTGTAAATAACTCTGGCTTTTTGATGTTGTGCAAACACTTGCCACGTTTATAACGTGATTACTACGTGGCAAAGAAATGTTTAAAGCAGATAATTAGCGCAAAAGCACAGAAATTGAAAGCTCAAAAACATTTCGTCTTTTTGAAACATCTACCTACTATTCGGGTTTTGCAGGATTTCGGAAAGTAAAAGTGAAGAAATGAGTTGTATTTAATGAAACATTTAAATAATTGTAAGATGCAGGAACATTACAGGACGTGAAATTCCAACACTTCATTAAAGAGGAATCCATAAGGAAAATTAATTTTAAAAAAATTAAAATCTGAGACGATTGATTCGTCTCTTCTCGAGTGTATATTAGGATCTCTCGCACACCTTAATCAGTTTTGCAACAAAGAACAAAGATTGTCAGATTTTGTTTCGTTCGACCACAAAATAGTAGTCTCCACAAAACGAAACACGACTCTTGTTTCGTGGGTCTGTGATTTCTGCTGGTTTGACTCACCAGGCCCCGACAACAGCGGCGGCTTTTAGATGGTGGTGCACTGAAATGCACACCGAGCCAAGCCGCGTCGCAAAACTCCCCGTTGC